TTCCCATGGGTTTTGGCTTCAGTCACTTAGTAACATGCTCTCTTACCTTTAGTGAATCTCTTCTTTACTTCTCTACTAGCATTTACCRTATTTCTCAAATAAACCACTTGCAGGTAARCCCTTATTTTCTCTAGACCCAGGCRGGATGCTACCTAATAATTTAGAAATGCTAATGGAGACGTTGAGTTGTATGGGATATTTGGCAGGAACTGCATTTTTAAAACCTTGATTCTTCTGCCRGTTTTCCTTCCTTGTCTGCTGTCAYGGCTTTGGAGATCTCATCCTATGATCCCGCCTTTGCTGCCATCTCTGGTGCTCACCATTCTGTTTATTTCTTCACATGGCTCCATTTCTCTCTCTCATAGAAGGCTCCTGTTTGCCTCTAAAATACCCTTCAGCTACAGTTCTTTATATTATCTTCTCTTTCCTGCCAAACTTTCAAAGAAGTCCTTCGAGAAAATTGCCCCWATTTTCTTCTCCCTTTTCACTTTTTGCTTAATCATGGACAATTTGGAGACCATTGTCACCCTTCAGTCCAACAGCTCTCAAGGCCCCCCTAACCACCTTCTTATTTCAAAACACAGAGGTCCTCTTTTTGTTCTCTTGTCATTTCTGTTACCATTGAGCTTACTGATAACATTTCCTTTTTGAAAATTGTCTTGAGTGGGTGAATGCTTAGAATCTTAACAATAAAGGGAGATTTAGTCCACACTGGCCACTTTACAAGGGGGGAAACTGAGACCTAAAAAGTTCAAATGATTTGCCCAGCGAGGTCCAGAAATGTAAAAGCCGTACATTGATCATCCGTGGCAGATTCAGATCTACCATGTGAACTGTTTTCAATTAATCCAGAACCAAAACCTTTCAAATATTCCTAGGTTTTATTCCTTCCTACATAAAGGCCTCCCAGGGGGTCCCTCCACAGTTGTTCTCCATTGCAGTGGTTAGGATGGTATTTCTAAAGTGTAAGTCAGAGCCTACCTCTCCCCTGCTTAGTCTCCAGTTCTTCTTTTCTGCACTGAGAATAAAATCCAAACTCCTTTCTGTGCTTTGTAAGATCCTCCTTGGTCCAGCAGTCTTTCCAATCTTAATTACTGTGCATTCTCCTCTTGCAATCATTCTGCTGCCCAACACAGACCCTCCCCTTGCCAGCAAGGTGAACCTAGCCCTCGTTGGGGCACTTGCTTTGCTGCTCCTACGATTGGAATGCTTCTCTCTCTGGCCACTGCACCACTGCTTCCTTCTCTTCCTGTGGTTCTCATTCAGCTCCAAAGGCCTCATGCTCAGAGAGTCTTAATCTGATGTCACCATACCTAGCATTGTCCATAACCATCCCACTGCCCAAGACAGTATTCTGTTTTATTTTTTTCATAGCATTTATCACTAGTCACAGTTATGTTACTTATATATGGTTTGGAGTTTGTCATRTTTCTGAACATTAGAGTATACTTTCCTGGATTGGAGGGACTTTGTTTTGTCTTTCATATCTCTCACACCTAGATCACCAAATGACCAATAATCAGTGCTCTGTAAATTTTTGTTAGATGAATAAATAAATTAATGAATGATATCTAAATCTCCTGTCTCATTTCCAGGAATCCTCATCCTCTTTTACTCTCTAATTTAATTCTATTATTCATCTACTCTTTCAAAATCTTTTCTCCACTGTAACCAAAATGGTTGCCTCCTGAATCAATGAGGAAAACACTCCTGACGGGGTGTTACCTTTTCAGTTGTCTCATTGGCCAAACTCCGACCTTATGCCTAACTACTCAGATTTTATCTCTGTTAAAGTATAACTCACATTTCATTTCCATGAAACCAGATCTCACAGCCCTCATTGATCATCCMTTCTTAAAATGATGTACAATGACCCTTGTTTTTTGGGGATTCTGAATACTCTTATAGGATTTATACTAACTTGAATCATATCTTCAAGTTTCATAGAATATGTAAGTTGTGCCTAGTTACATTAAATGTGTGTTTGTTACATGTAGTAGATCCTCATTTTGTGTAGGTCCTATGGTAGCAAATTTATTCACTAAAATTTATTTGCAACCCCAAAATTAATATTTGTGGAGCTTTCATGGTTGTTCACAGACATGTAGACAGGTGCTTCCCTGCTGGAGTGGAACATGCTACCCTCTGCCTTCTTGCTTCAGTTCTCATACAATAAGAAAGTGTGCTGTTTGCAGTCTACTTAGCACCATGTTGTTTGCATTGTAAGCTTTTCGTTGGTGATGTTGCTGTTTARAATTGCCCCTAAGCTTTCAGGCGTGGTGGCACATGCCTATAATCCAATGGCTAGGAAGGCAGAGGCAGGAGGATCTTGAGTTCCAAGCCAGCCTCAGCAAGAGCGAGGTGCTAAGCAAMTCAGTGAGACCCTGTCTCTAAATAAAATACAAAATAGGGCTGGGGATGTGGCTCAGTAGTCAAGTGCCCCCAAATTCAATCCCTGGTTACCCCCCACCTCCCCCCAAAATGCCCACAAGCATAGTGGTGAATGCTGCCAAGTGCTCCTAAGCACAAGAAGGCTGTGAAGTGTWAACAGGTATAAGGTATTCAGGTGTAAGTCATTGTCCTGTTGACTGTTTCGATGATAAGGAGACAACAATATCAAACAAGCTGTCTTGAAACCAGAATACACAGTCAGTGAGGTTATGTGCTGCTTGGCTGGTAGAAATGTTTTGACCAGAGGCCCATAGGAACCAAATGCTATGTTTCCCCTGGGAGCAATATTTGCTAATTCAGTGTTCGTGGCACTTCGTGGAATTTAACTACAGTAATAATGAGAATTGACTAAATATGTATATGTACACTGACATTAGTCTTATTTAGGAGACAAGGAAATAAATTCTTATTGAAATTAAGTAGTTTACCCAAGATCATTTGCCAAGCTGCTAAATAGTAGATCTGAAATCTGGGCTRTGAGATCCCAAAGTCTATTGGGTTTCCTTTTACCAAACCAGTGTTTTTCTTTGTTTTAATTAGGTTCAGAGTCCTAGTTATTACAGGGTATCATGGGCATGTGCATATAAAATACGAGTTGAGTTTGCTGAGAGAATAATAAAAAAAAAAACATAGTTCACACTGAGTAGACAAAAGTATTTTTTAAAGTTTTATTTATAGTCCCACGTTAGTGAGCAGATAAGTGACTCCCAATCTTAGAAGTAAAAGAACCTCTTTTTTTCAAAGTTGAGTTGTTAATAATATGCACAAGCTTCGTCTTCTTTATCATGGACATGAAATTCTGACTAGTAGTATGCCGCAGTCCGGCTGCAGCAAAATAGCCGGGGGGTGACGAATAACTTGTGTACGTTGATACAGCAGGAATGGGAGCCGTTTATTGTAGGACAACAGAGCTATTTATACATTTTGCACAGCTTATCTTAATTAGCATAAACTAGATACATCAGTCAACCAATAAGGCATCTCCAAACTTAATGGCTCGCTTTTGTTACTTCTCAAACCACTCCCTCTGGCATTTTGCCAGGCACCATCCAGACTTGTTTACGAACTCTAACATTCCCCTGGCAAAATACCAGATGTTATTTTGACTTGTTTACAGACCTTCACAGTAGTACACTTGTAGCACATTTGCATGTTGTATGTATGTGGTCAGAGACACAGGCCAGACTTTATAAAAGACTTTTGCCTCCTTAACTGTGTATATACTTATATGCAGATATGACAGGAGAATTTATATTATAAAACCTACCCAAAACACATACACATGGATCAACTTACTGGCTTTGTGATCTGCACTGTTTTCTATGTGTATGTGTGTATACACATGTATATATCCACATGCACACACACATTTATACATATGTACATATGCACATGTACATGTATGTTAAGACTTTTTTTTTTTTTACAAACTTCATAATATATCTTCAAAAATAATTGAAAATATTTGTCGAACCTTCAAAGCACCTTGGTGAACACAGTTTGAACAGCCATTTCTTACGCACATCCCCACCAGTAGCTGTTTCTTTCTGAGTAGATAGTCTGCAGATCTTACTGGTAAGAATCATATATTTTTTACTTATGTATTACAAATGATCTTAGCTTAGTACTAAATATAAAGAAGTCTCTCACCATTGGTAATCCACTGCACCCCAGATGGTTGGCTACCAGCTATATCATAGCAAAGATTTCTGCAGAGTGAGTTTAGAAGTAAATAATGTGATGAAATGATTTCACTTGATTGTGTAGAACAAGGGCCTTGATGTATCACAGAGTGGATCAGATTTTGTTCCTATGATATTCTCTTGACATTTCTTTTTTCCTCAAATACCAGAGCCACACAGGAGTCTCAAATTAACACTTCTCAACTTTGAAAAAAGCTGCCAGAGACAAGGTTGGGTGAGGAGTTCCCCACAGGGAAGCAAGACCAGATAACAACATGTTATGTCTTCCCCAAGGCTACACTATAATTCCCAAAGTGTTAGAGAAGGGGCTAAGGGGTCCTTCAAAGCTATGTCATTAGTAAGCTGAAGGGACTAATGGRTTTTAGCTTAGAATCCTGAACTCACGGTTTAAATATTTTATGATAGTTTGCTTTTCCTTTAATTAGATGGCTGCATGTCCAGAGACTTTAAATATCCTATTTTTAAGAAGCTAAACTTTTCACATCTCTAGGCATCAAGGTTGATGTATTTTTCCTGGTTTAAAGAACAGCTGAATTCCATTGTGCAGATAAAAATGGATTAACTGCATGACACCACTTCGGGCTTTACTGGCTCTGTCACTTCTCCAACTGGGCAGAGACTTTTGCCTCCAGAGGTGATGACCCAATGGTTTTGTCCTGCCTGAGTTAGTAAAAACATCCACTGTGTTTATAAGCACCACTCAAGAGTTTGTTTAGCCACATCTTCTCTACCTAGACCCCAGAAAGAATGCAAAAGCAATAGAGATTCCAAACTTTTCAGCTTTATTTTCCACTCCTTATTTTCCAAGTGGAGATTATTGAAAACAATCATTCTTTCTTGTTGCAGGAAAAGCCATCGGAGGAAGAGAGAAAACACAAGGAAGCTTTGGATGATCTTCACATGGTGGTAGATGAGGATTCAAGGAGTGAAAACAGCAGTACAGATGAGGGCAAAGAAAAGACGAAATTGCTGTTGGAAAGATTGAAAGCTTTAGAGGTAAGAAATGGAACCATTCCTACATGTTTAAAGAAGAATAACAGTGTTCTGCTTTTATTGGCACTGATTTTAACTGAGTATAAATCTTCCTCTCTCAGTTCTCCCAGACTGATATAACTGAGTGTCTACCACTGAGATTCTTTTGTCAATGATGAACAAAAAAATTAAGATTTGCAGCATTGAAAGGGTCTTGACACAGTGGCTGTGACTTTATTGCCTTAGAAAGAGGGTGTAGGACAATAATTCACTTTAAAATCATTTCAGACCTCAAACTGGATCAATTCCTAAAATTACAAGCTCTTTGATACAGGAGGCTGGGTGAAGCTTCACATCGTTTTCCTTATACCAGATGAAATGAATGAATGAGTGAATGAACAAGCAAAATATTTTAGAGTGTGTAAAGAAGATTTTAAAAAGGTTGTGTGTGTAAATATATGTATATGAATATATATGCATACATTTGTACATGTATCATATATACAACGTATATATAAAGATCATATATAAATTTTTAAAAAGTAAAAGCATTTTTCCAAATAAAACCATGCATAAAAGTTCAATTTGTTTGTGCAGCATATAAAAAGTAGAGTTGAAGCCAGGATAAAGGGTCTTTAAGAAGATTTTTGGAGCACTATAGTCCACCAAAATACTGTTTGAAAAACACAGGGTTATTACTTAGTGGCATTTGACATCATATCAAGTGTTAATTCCTGAATTTTCAAAGCAGTATCAAAGAACACTCCAGCTGCAAGTTCTTGATTGAGATTATATTTACTAAAAAATTCAATAAAGATGCCTTCTTTCTTAAGAGTTTACTTYCCTCTTTTCCATATATTTATAAGGGGTTTTTACCCATCAGCATCTAAAATCAGTCCTACTATAAGCTCTACAGAATCCTGAAAACTTTCATGATATGAATAAACAGAAATGGAAGGAGGTCTTGTTTTCTATACTTGGTTTCTGTGACCTGGCCTCTAACCCACCACATGGTCACTAGGGAGCATGTTGTTTTTATTCTTAGCACATGTTCAGCACAATGGTTAAGATAACGGAMTTTTGGGSCTWGGGATGTGGCTCAAGCAGTAGCGTGCTCACCTGGCATGCGTGGAACGCTGGGTTCGATCCTCAGTACCACATAAAAATAAAATAAAGATGTTGTGTCCACCAAAAACTAAAAAATAAATAAATATTAAAAAATTCTCTCTCTCTTAAAAAAAAAAGATAATGGACTTTGGAGCAAGATGCTCAGGGTTTTGTTTGAATACTTGTTCTATACTTTTTTGCTTTTAAAACCTTCAATTCACATATTCTCTCTGTGTTTCCTCAATTGCAGAAATGAGGATAATAATAGYAACTCAATTTACAGAAAAGTAACAAGGATTAAATAAGTTATTTATACAATGATTTTCTTAGCTTGGTCTCTCCTGTCCATCTAACTCAAGGCTGCTACCTCTTCCTAAGTCATTTTCCCCTATTTCTCTGAATTCAATRATCAATACAAAAACTATGAATGAAAAAAAAATCAGCTATTGCATACCAGTATGAGTGAAACAGATAGGTGAGCAACTGATATTAGACACAGAGCAAAAGGGAATCCCACTGAGGGAAACTCCAAGACTTCCAAGTTGTGAAGGACCAGGAATCACCTGTCTCCCAAGGGGGTCTCATGATTTTGTCATTTTTAAAGATAGTGTTAGAGATAGGCAGGCCTTCTTGAGGGGAACTGAMGTTTCTGTTCGAGAGTTGTGAGAAAACTTACAACTCTCTTCAGTCTGAATTAACTAGATTGAACAACAGGAGTGAGTTGATATGACATGTACTTAGATTGTTTAGTTTTTATTTATGATTATAGTGAACATTGTTCTCAGTTCATCTTATTGTCAAAGACAACTTTGTGAAGGACATTTGGTCTAATCAAGCTAAGAGGTATTTAAAAAATGTCTTTGGCAGCAAATGTTCCATAAAGTTCAGAGTGAAAAAGAAGCCATATTTTTKCCTTCCTCAGAGAGCTTTACACTTTCAGCAACAACTCTTTCATCCACCATTAATTGGATGTAATACATGATATATTTAAGTGCCATTTGGACCCATGATTTTAGTTTACAAACTATTTTATTTCCTAAATTAATTTTCTTTAATCCAACTATCATTACTTGTTTCCTAAAATTCTTTGTTTAATATTAAGTTAACTCTGTTTTTGCCCCTGATTCTCCCTACATTATACTTGACAATTCTATAATTTTTATTACATAAAATCTTTTTATTGTATGTGATCCAATTTTCATATGAATTTCATATGCTACTTAATTAGATTTTTAAAGAATTTGCTACATATGCTCAGTGTGTAGGATCCTCTGCATAGGTTAAAATTTGTTGTGAGAAAATAGAGAACTCATTTTGACAGACTGTGATTAGAGCTGGTCACAGACCCCCATGTGGATTCGTGCACTTCCACAAAATGCTCCTCTGAAAGATTGCAGGGAAATTAACCGTAATGCATCAAAATCGCTTTGGCAAGATTTGATATTGTACAGCGAGATTTTAGAAAAACAAGGGATATTTTGTACCGGTATATCTTTGAAAAAAAACGTGCATCTATCTTCGTCTCTGAGCTGCTGGTATTGTAGGAAGCAGCAAAKAATGATTTTCAGGGTGATGGAAAGCAGTCTTCTTTTATTCCTGCTCCCCAAATAGGTCCCAAGAAGGTGTGGAAAAGGAGTTAGAGTCTACGTCTAATATAGTGCTCTTGATTAATATGACAGTAATATCAAAATATTAAGAACAATTTTTGAAACACTTAAATTGTAAATTGTATTTGAAAATCTCCTGACTTTGAGAATTAAGTAAATATTTTCCAGGTACCTCTTACCCCCACCTCAGGATTTCTCCCTCTTGTCATCATTTCCTATTCACTTCTGATCATAATCTCTCATTTTCTCTGTCAGCACCAACGTCCTGTGAAACAATACAGCCTTTGCTGGAGTTTTCCAAAACCCAACCCCAGAGAGGAGATGGGGYTATGGCAGCACATCTTTAGGTAGCTGCACTTCTAGTCAGTCCTTTGGCTACAGCACCTTCCTCAGCAGCCCCTTTCTTTTCAATTCCCAGCCCCAGGACGTAGGACTTGGCTAGAGCTTTCCCACAGGCTTTCCTGTTCCACAGCCAACTTCCTCCCTTGTCTACTATGCAGATTTCTAGACCTAGGCACTTCACTTCATGAGTCTATTCCATGCCATGCCCAGGCTCATCAAGGTATTCTAGCAAATCAGGTGTTTACCTTCCTAAAGAGAACTCTAGGTCCTGCAGCCAAAATAAACACACACACACACACACACACACACACACACACACACACACTTTATTTCTCTGCTTAGTGTCTCACTTTTGGCCATATTTATTTGTCCTGGGGAGGAAAAGTGGACTGTTTTACCTCTTAGTTCAGACACTGCTTCTGATTTTTGTTTAGGTTCCTGATGTCTGGTAGAGAAACCATTTGTTGAACTTTTTAATATGCCGTACAGCCATGTTGGTGATCCAGAGTCCACTCACTCCTTCCCTTTACCTTTTCCATGCCCAGACATGTTTCATGAAAGTTCAGGTCTCCGTGGCTACCRTTACAGGGACTGCTTACTTGGCTTAGGAAAAGGCTCACCATTTTCAACGGGACTGCTATGTCACAGTTCTCTTCTGAAATGGACCGCTCCTCTCTCACACTTCACTCTATTACATTGATGAGAGATCTTTCCAGACATGCCCTCCAGGATCCACAGGCTGAATTTGGAGACTTCCCCGGGCATTCCTCCTGGCCATTCACCTCAGGGCCTGCATTTGCTCCTGGAATGTTCCTGGCAATACATGATTTACTTGTCTCCAGAGCTTCCTCCCGAAAGCCCCAACAGCCCTTCCTCCCCACTCAGAGACTGACTTTAGAGATGACCCAAAATCAAGCTGGACCTTCCTTTTGCAACTCCTTTTACAACTCCTGTAGCATCTCCTGTAGCCTCCTTATATCAGGGAAAACATTTAGCATTTGTTTTTTTTTTTTTTTTTGGTGGGGGGGATTGGCTCACTTCACTTAGCACTATCTTCTCCAACACCATCCTTCTCCAACGCCAACCTGCAAGTGCCATGATTTTATTCTCTTTTATTGCGGAGTAAAATTCCATTGTGTATATATACCACATTTTTTATCCATTTTTATCCACTGAAGAACATCTAGGTTGGCTCCACAGTTTAGCTATTGTGAATTGTCCTGCTATAAACATTGATGTGGCTGTGTCCCTGTAGTATTCAATTTTTAAGTCCTTTGAGTATAGTCCTCCTTAAGATATCTGACACATGTCTTTCTCCTGATCAATTTGCATGCTATGGAGGGTCACCTAACAACAACATTCAGGTAGATTTAGAGATAAAATTTCTCCTTGATAAAAGGGCAGGGGGTGGGAGGTGGCATAAATCCAAAGACTGTGTCAACCTATGACTTTATACTACAATTTTATGATTTGTCAAACTAGTAAATAGTCACATTATGGACAATTACAAAAATATAGGAAATAAATTATAAATTATATTCAGCTCTCCATATCCACTGATTCTACATCCACAGATTTAACCAACTGAGGGCTGAAACACTGAAAAGACAAATTAAACACCAGTATTGAACACACACATACTTTTTTCCTTGTTATCCCCTGAACAATAATTTACAGCAACAAATTACATAGATTTACATTTTTTAGGTATTATAAGTAATCTAGAGATGATTTAAAGTATGCAGAAGGATACACATAGGTTCTATACAAATACCATACCATTTTATATGAGGACCTTGAGCACCATGGACTTTGGTATTTCCAGATAGTCCTAGAATCAATCCCTATTGAATACTGTGGGATAACTATGCACCAATTAGAAATGGTCTACTATTGACATTTTGGCATGTTTCCAGTCTTTTGTTTTTGTTTTACTTAAGCAAATTGAGAAGTCATAAAATATCATCA